ATTTTCTTATCTGACAGCTCGTTTTCTTAATTCCATCATTTATTAAAATAAAAATGCTAGCTTTCTAGAATCTTAATTACCTTACACCAAGAATCGGGATCATATTTTTCAAATCATACTTTTTTTCCTTTACGACCTTAATCCCAACTAGTTTGGGGTCGACCGGTAAACTAAGAATATTTATACGACAGTGGCTACCACTCTTCGCGACCGCATAGGACGTGTACGTTCGGTGATGGGGAATTTAACTCGAGGCCTTCAGATTGCGAGTCGAACGCCCTAACCACAAGGTTCTTCAAATTGTATAATAGAAGAAAAACAACAACAACAAAAAAAACTGGAAATTGTTATTTTTTTAGAAATATAGTTTAAAATGCCAATATAAGATTTAGTGAATTCTATTAAAAATAAAGTGAAGGAGGATTGTTTAATCTTCGAGCACTCCAGATTAGTAATCATTTCTTCGGAAATAATTATTTTTAAATCTGAATAATTGCCAGGAAAACAAATTAAAAATAAAGAAGTAAACTTTGAAATTGTAAGCTGGTTTCTGTTTATAATAAGTTTTAATAAAATACTACATCAAAATATTAAGTACTATAAAATATCCATAAAATAGAAAATATAGTAATGCTTTTTTCTTTTTAGAATGTAATCATATATAAAGGATTAGTTCAACTCCCTGTACTCTCTAGTATAAAGTTATGTAGTTTCCAGTAGTTAAACCAATTTTATGATCACTACCACCAAGTGGTTGTTTTTGTGATACTGCATTTCATTGAGAAAACAAAAATATAACGTGTGATAACACTGGTATATCGTGCATGTGATAGAGATATACCAGCGTTGAACTTTCATTAAAACAAGATAAAATGGCATCATCTCGTAAAATTAAGGTTTGTTTCGCTTTTAAAATTATACATTTCATTTTGATATATATACTATATCATATATTTATGTTACTATATAGTATATAGTAAGAATAAACTTCTAATTTCTAATTAAAATTTCTATTTCAAATTCAACTTTCAACTATTGCTACTACTAATACTGATACTAATAGACTAGCGATTTATAATTATAACATTTATATTGTATTGGAGTGAAAAATACATCACCGTGCTATCCTAATTTTCAGTCAAGTTTATATGTATGGATATTTAGAGGTTTTCGATGTAAAAGCGTAATGGTAATAAATTATTATATGTTACCTGTAGTTGTAGTTCAAACATTTTCTGATTTAGCAAGATGTGTAAAAGCTTGATAATAATTATTACATTTTATAGGATCGTTATGTGTGATTTTTCCCAGTGCAACATAATGAACAACATATTTGTTAGTCTTACTGTTTGAATACATCGTCTTATGAGACCTGTTATCATTATTTTTTGTAGATTTCTTCAACAAATACAGTTTAAATTAGTAAGTGTTTTCCTTATATTTAACTTCCAAGAAATGTAACAAGGGGCCATTTTGTAGGCTATCCTTTTTTTTTTTTACCAGTACTACCCTACTTCAAGCAACATAAAGAAATGCTTTTCCATAACTAATCCTTATTTCAAAAATCCTCATCCAATCTCCTTCAATGTCATAGCTTTTACCATACCTCAAGTCAAATTCTCCAATGAGCTATGTTACAAAAGTAACATTCAGTCTTGAGTTAAATGGTTAAACTCCTGTAAAGTGCTGGTCTCTACTACAACCATTGGTAGCTCATTCCATATGCCAATTACCATTTAAAACAACCTCAATTGGATTATAGCATGTCACTTCCAAATCTTAAAGTTGTATCCTCTTGTGTTTGGAATACAGCACAAAGAAGTCATGGCCTTTATCCTATGAATACCCCAGATAATCTTGTAAGCTTTAATAAGATCACCTCTTATCTTATTTCAAGAGAAAGTAATTTAACATATTTTGACCTATCCCAGTAAGGTAATCCTTACATTTCCAGAATTATCTAAGTAACCCTATTCTGAACCCTTTACGATAAATAAATAATTAGTATTGATGCATCATTTTTTTTTCATGTTTAATGGTATGAGTGGTAGGACTAGGGGTCATACATTTGAGGTTTTACAGGATACAAGTTGTCTGCAAATTAAGGAATTTTATTTTTTCTCAGGATGGTCAGCCTTTGGAATGGATTGTTTTCAAATATGGTAGATGTAACAGGATTTGGAGATTCCAAGAAAAGGCTTGATGAGTACTTCAGTAGTTAAGGCTGGATACAGGCTGATGGGTGTTTGATGAAATGAATGGGACATCCACAAGGGGCTCCTTGTTGTCCCTCAAATTCTATGTTATACTGTCCAAACCTTTCACTACAACTGATGTTTCCCGTAGTTATTGAATTATTATTCTTATTAGTAACAGCCCTATTCTCTGTATAAAATTTCCAATTAACTTAATCTGTTTGATCAGGTGACCTATAATAGCCACCAGTTAAAAAACTGCTACCTTTGAAACATGATTGTAACCTGTATATTGCAAATTCAACATCTTGACTGCTGTTTGTGACACATTTAATCTCAATAAGTTGCATTTCATCCATTATGTAAATACCCCTCCCTTAAAAAAGCCTATGACTATTAATAACTTATAACCTTTAATTTCAAAATAGTTCTTATTATCAGATTTCTCCAAATCATACCAAATAACAGGGATTTCCATTACATCATAGTTCCCATTTCAAATTGAACCTTGATACTTCTAATTTTGTTCCTAGTATTCTTAACATTAGAATAATTGCAACTAAGTTTAGCTTTGAACCTTCTATGTTTATCTTTAAATCTGGAAGGCTTATCTTTAGACTATTATTTAACTTGTTATGCTTCAAGTCTTCTATTTCCAAACTCCTCATTAATATAGCTATCCTATCAATTTTTTTTACTCCCAAGCTCCTTCACTGATGAATATCAAGAGCTTTCCTTAAAATTCTACTACTTGCTACAGTGAGGGCCATCTCAACCATATACTTCACTGTTACCCTGAAAAACTGTCCAATGGGTCCAACCAGCCCACTGTTGCTCTATGTATATCTCTGATAATTTGCATTCATAAGCCTTGGTTCCTACTAAGTTATTTATTTCCATACCTAACCATAGATAGAGCACTTCTGAAAGGAACACGCATCTATTTCTGATTTTACACCTCTGATGAAGTCTATTATACTCAAGAAGATTGACAGATTTACAGTTTTCATCATAGTTCCTTCCCACATGCACCAAAAAGACAATGCTCCTTGTTGCCAACAGTTAAACTGCCAATAAGCCTGCGACTGATCTCCATATCGGCTGCTGTTACTGTACTGTACAAAAGTTTCCAAGCCAAACAAAAATGATTAAATGAAATGCTGAAATAACTTCACTGAGTTTCGATAAAAATTAAACTCACAACCTACAAGCTAGACATTTCTATTTAATTTGGCCAGGGAGAGATTTGACTTTACTTCGATAAAACTTGTAGGTTGTGAGTTTAATCTAGACATTTCTATTTAGTTTGGCCAGGGAGAAATTTGACTTTACTTGATGAGTGCGTGGCTTTGAGTAGTGTAAAATGCGAGGCTAGGCTAGATTGGACGACTGTGATGACTAATCTGGATGATTTTCCACGCAGACAAATCTTCACAATGGAAAATTTAATCAGTAATCTGTATATCTGCATTCAAAACCCAAAAGCTATTTCTTATAACAAACACATTTTCTATGGATGCGTGATACAGTCGTACATGATGTTGTGAGAGTTTAGTAGAAATCTATTAAAAGTTTGTGACAATTTTTCTGAGAACAATCTTCACAGTAGGTATGTCCATAGAAACTATAACAGATACTGAAAGATCATCAATGTTATTTGTACTGCAGTCATGTTAAGTCGCAATGCTCCAAATGCACGGGAGTATCAGAATCATCAAAACGTAATGTTTTTTAATACAAGAAAGTAAATTCAAGTGAAAAACCTTGATACCATTTGAAGATGATAAAATAATGTGCCACTTTTATTATGTAACTTCTATGATTATTGATGACTTATAAAATAATACTGATAAATTTATTATGCATACAATTATCGAATGATAACGCATGCTACTAATAGTGTTCATGTCATTCATGATCAATTCTTTTATCTAGATGTCTTGGTAATCCAGAAGAAATTCATTACAAATGCATTCAAGTTAACAAGGTTTCACTTTTATTAAGTTACATGGAGTCTGAAGTATTGAATTTTTAAGTCAGATAGTTTGTAGAGTTTTGGGCTATCAAATCTTTTGTTCTTGATAATTTAATAAGAAATAATTATGTTACTGATTTCTTGTTCCATAAAAATTGATAAGAGATATACCATACATTGTGTTGAATGTGAGACATTAGCAGGTAAGTGAAATCATTGGTCTAGTACAGGAATAGAAGTAATGAAATAAAATTGCATTCACGGGAAAGCTATCAGGAAGATTACATTCCCTCGTGTAAAATTGTATTGAATTATTTTTTTATTTAATTAATGCAATATATTCACATTCATTAGTCTTAACTAAAGGAATATGGATGAACTATGAATTCCCGATCAGGAAAGCCAACTAAAGTGATGAAATCCCTCAAAAAAAAGCTAAATTCCTCAGGAATGTGGAAATATAATATTTTGATCCCTGTAGTATCTAGTATGAATGTAGGCCTATCAGTAAACATTACTGAAACTTGTAGAACTTGTAGTCAAAGAAATAAAATGCTTTCATTTTATCATTAAGTGAAGTGGATTTCATCATTTGTGTGTGTGTTGTTTTTTTTTTACAGAATAATGTAAAATAATGGAATCAGTTACAGCAATAGTTATCCTCTTCAGTAAAAAAAAATTCCTGTTATAATCTATATTGCAAGTATTTCTAATTTCTCTGTTTGGCAGCTTAAAAATGTAATTTCTCAACATCTTCGATTCTAACATCCTTTTATTTTTTAATATACTTAAAGTCTGAACTGTTAATTTTAACATTTTTTACCAACTGTTTCTCATATGTAAAGTTACGTTGAGAGAAAAAAAAAAGATGGATTTTCTTTATCCGTGGACACATCTTTGCGAATCTGGAATACTTTGTTTATAATCTTAACTTTTTTACACTTAGTACAACAAGTGACTGTCATTGTAAGAGACACCAGGTGTGAATTTTATGCAGGCTTGATACAAATACAGTATAGGAATAAAGAAATATGATAAAAGATAAGTAGAGTGTAACTGTGGATGTTGAATACCAGTAAATATCTTCAGTTTGAGTAGGTAGAATACTGTATAGATAACAAAGACAAAAAGTTAGTTATAAAACATGTATGTTTATTAAATTACAAAAATATCACAGACAAAGTGATAAGATAAGTGGAAACAATTTCACGAGTTGGGAGTTCCAACGTAAATAAATCTGTAGATAGTTACTAGTTTCGATTTGTTTGTCAGTACTGTGTGCACATCTTTTAAAAACATTGGAACGTGTTTGTTTAGTTTGAGGTGATTTCTTTCTTTCAGGTAGGGATTGTTAGTGGCTCGGGATTGGATGATCCAGATATTCTTCAAGACAGACAAGAAAAGTTTGTAGAAACCCCATATGGAAAGGTTATTTTCTTTGTTATCTTGGGTATCTTGTAAGGTATTTTGTATTTATGTGTACGTATATATACAGGGTGTCTGAAAGGTCTGGAACAATAAGCGATTTGCAGCTTTTCTTAATTTCGGATATGTGACTGATTATGGCGCTGTCAAAGCATGAGAAGGTCGAGTTAATTCTGCTGTTAATCCAAACTTGTTTTGAATTACAAGGGCAACATTTGGAACACACACTGTAAAATCCATTGAAGTGCCTATGGTTCCAAAACTTTTCAGACACCTTGTGTGTATATACTTTTAAGGCATGTTTCTGGTTTTTTGATACAAAATTGTCATTAGGATGAATATATTTTAAACTACTATCGGTAATTCTGCATACTGGCATTATGTTCAGTTCTAGTTTCTTACTGTAGGGAAGATAGGAAGATGTTACTGTGATTGAAAGGGTTCAGTTCTGGTTTTTTACTGTAGGGAAGATAGGAAGATGTTATTGTGATTGAAATGGTTCAGTTCTGGTTTTTTACTGTAGGGAAGATAGGAAGATGTTACTGTGATTGAAAGGGTTCAGTTCTGGTTTCTTACTGTAGGGAATATAGGAAGATGTTACTGTGATTGAAAGGGTTCAGTTCTGGTTTTTACTGTAGGGAAGATAGGAAGATGTTATTGTGATTGAAACAGTTCAGTTCTGGTTTCATACTGTAGGGAATATAGGAAGATGTTACTGTGACTGAAAGGGTTTAGTTCTGGTTTTTTACTGAAGGGAAGATAGGAAGATGTTACTGTGATTGAAAGGGTTCAGTTCTGGTTTCTTACTGTAGAGAAGATAGGAAGATGTTACTGTGATTGAAAGGGTTCAGTTCTGGTTTCTTACTGTAGAGAAGATAGGAAGATGTTACTGTGATTGAAAGGGTTCAGTTCTGGTTTTTTACTGTAGGAAGATAGGAAGATGTTACTGTGATTGAAAGGGTTCAGTTCTGGTTTCTTACTGTAGAGAAGATAGGAGGATGTTATTGTGATTGAAAGGGTTCAGTTCTTGTTTCTTACTGTAGCGAAGATAGGAAGATGTTATTGTGATTGAAAGGGTTCAGTTCTGGTTTTTTACATTCTCATCCACTTGTGCCACATGAACTGTGAACTACTTGAATATTCTGGATTGATGAAATCAGTGAAACGGATTGCAAGATATAAACAAGCAACTTTATGTACATTTTTTTTATTCTGTAAGATATATTCCATGAGTCCATTTTCAAGGTTAAGTTCATTTTGTCTGTAAATATTTTACAGCCTTCTGATGCTCTTGTCACAGGGAAGATATGTGGAGTAGAGACTGTATTAGTTGCAAGGTAAGATTTTTTCTTAAGAATTATTGGATTAAAAGAATAAAAATTAGCAGCTTTTTACAAGTAGTGAAAGCCATGATTTTCTTCTTTACGTTTACTAGAGCTGGGCAATTTAATCAATTCAATTTATTACCTATGAGCAATGATTACATTGATTAGTGTCACATAAACTACTCGATTAAACGAATTAATCAAAACTAGTATTCCTGATTAGTACTGGTTTCAGTTATTTTAACACTAAATTAATTTAAATTCTGATCAACTAATCAAAATTGATGTTTTTGATTATACCAACAATTGATTAATTGAAATATTGCCACCAAACTTACTCACCCCAAAAAGGATGGAGACATATTTAATGATAACTGTCGTGGAAAATAAGATGAATGTAGATGTGTTTAACCCTTTCTCTGCGTGCAGGTTAAAGAGCACACCATGACCTTTGAAGAGTTATTTTCAAAATTTTATCTAATAACTTTACTTATGTCAGTGGAATTGACATCAACTCGTAGATTACAATTGAAATTTTAATATTTTTAATGTTTTAGTTTTTTAATTTAAAAGAAAATATAAAGAAAAAATGCTAAATATCAATTTTTTGTTTGTCACACAGCACCTCCTATTGTCTTATTGCTTAGTTTATATTTTATTATGCCTGCCATACAATGTGTAAAGTGGTTAAATAATTAGAAACTTGAATTTGAGATACAGACAAGCTAGAATATAAAATAAGAACCACCCACCTAGAGCTACAACTTAGTCATCAGAAATTATGACTTTAACTTAGTCCTCACACTTTAAGTTTTGGTAAAATTATGACTTTCTCCTTCAAGCTATTTACAAATGACTGTCAGGTTAACATACACAGGAAACAGATCTCTCTCGCTTGGTAGTAAACACTTAGTCAAAAGAAGTAGGTGGGACTAGACAATAGGTTTCAAAAGAATAGAGTAGTGGGAGGAGCCAAACTACTAGATTGGCTAAATATATTGACATCTCAGCAAATCAAAGGAATATACAAGATTTTTTAGAGTCAAATATAACTTGTTTAGAAACCCAGATAAATTACAGGAGACTTGTGTGCACGAATATAGTAAGTTGATAGTTACTTAGTTTTATAAGATGTATATTTGAAGCCTACAAAAATTGATATCTCTCTACTCGGAAGAATAAATGAGGTTTACGGTGAGGCTTAGTATGTATGATGCATGATCACAAAATCTCAAACACTGCAAGTACTCAAATTCTTTGTTTTTTGAAGTATGTTTTATTCATTCTTCTATGTTTTCATAAGAATAACTAAAATTTAAGCATTTATGAATAAATAATATTTATTGGTTGATGAATAAGATTGCTGAAAGGAAAATAGGATTTTATAACCATGTGCACAAATAATATATTTCCGTGTTTATATGGTATACCTCTAAAATCCAAACGTTCCAGAAGGATGACCAATACTCAAACATTTGCAATGTTTATTGATTGGCTCTGAACCACATAATAAACGTTTTCACAGATTCAAAGTGCAATCTTATTACTCTGGGGAATTCTTGTTGTAAACACTGTAGGAGACATAAGCTGATAAATTCCTCATTGTGTTCTCAGAGCAGGGGTCAAATCAGCTTATTCCTATGTGCGTACTTTGTTGCTTTCTACAGTATTGTATTACGGTGTCATGTAAACATGTCAAGCAGTTATTTGTTGCTTTATTTTCAGCGGATTTCTACTTCAGTTGATGAAAGTAAAATAAACACAGAAAATAAATGTGAAATGTTTAGCACTTCAAACTCACAAGAGAAGTACTTTGAAACCAATAATAAAGAAAACTGGTACAACTGCTCATTTTATTTCTGATTTTACAACTTTTCATTATACTTTGATGATTTGTCTACTGACTGAAGAATCAAATATATTGATAGGGTAGAGATAATAACGGATAAAATATAAAGTTTTACTGAAAAAAGTTTTATATTTATTCAGGAGGTGTGAAGGTTACACAAATGTAATTTGAGATTTTTGAGACAAAGAAAAGTATTTTTAATCTTAATTTAAAGTTCACTTTGCACTCGAACATGTAAAAAAAAATTGATTTATTCACGGGCAAATCTTTTGTAAAAATACTTCATTAAAAAACTGATTTTTTGTGTACAAATAACATGTAATGTCTACTAAAAGTGTGTCAAATTTTGTGAAGGTACACGTACTGCATTAAATGTTTTAGTATGGGAACTATAACAATTACAAAGTGGTTACAAGGTCAGTCAATTTGACTGACCCTGTGTTGATAGAGTTAGTGATAATTGTCGAGGAGAACAAGAAGGACGTAGATGTGTTTAGTGATAAATGGTGTTGAGAACAAGAAGAACGTAGATGTGTTTAGTGAGAAATGGTGTTGAGAACAAGAAGGACGTAGATGTGTTTAGTGATAGATGGTGTTGAGAACAAGAAGGACGTAGATGTGTTTAATGATAAATGTTGTAGGGAAGAAAAAAATGTCTGAAACACAGGTGTGCATTTGGCTGTGATGAAAAGGATGAACAGAGTTGTGGGATTTGTTCCATAGAAATTTAAAACCTTTGGATAAGATGGTGATTGTACCCTTGTATAAGAATTGATAGAGACTTCATTTTGTTTAGTTTGGTTCTTTAAATTACATAAATGCATTGGCATATTGGAAAGACTACAGAGACAGGCTATTAGAATGATACTTGTGGTTAAAAGGAAGTTTTGAGACACATTTTCTGAGGAATTTAGAAAAACTTGGCTTATTTTGAATTTCTAAATTTGTTAATCTACTTGGCTGAACTGTCTTTCGAGGGTCTGTTTTAGTGGTGATTAAGAACCCCAGTAATAGAAATAATAAGTTTAACTGTTGTAAGCTCAAATCCATATTTTTACCCCTGAAATAGTGACTTCTCAATACTCTTACCCATGAAATAGTGACTTCTCAATACTCTTACCCCTGAAATAGTAACTTCTCAATACTCTTACCCCTGAAATAGTGACTTCTCAATACTCTTACCCCTGAAATAGTGACTTCTCAATACTCTTGCCCCTGAAATAGTGACTTCTCATTTAAGATTGTAAGTGTTTTAGTGGCTTGCAAAATGTGTTTTTTGGTTTTGTGAATGCGTTAGGTATCAACTTATGCAAGAAACAACAGAAGAGGAATGAAAGACATCACAAAAACAAGAATTACTAGAATGAGTTTTTGATTGATTAACATAAAAAGAAAACATTCAATAAAATTTGAAAATTACAAATACCGAAAGCTGACAAAGCTTTACAAACAATTGGGTCTAATGCTTGTAATATAACTCACATTAACTGCGTATTGTTTTTTATCTTTCTCATAATTTGTCCATTGTGGATTCAAAATAATCTTTTCTCAAGAATAAAGAATGATGAGGGTCTTTTGACGCATGTGCTAAGTTTGTGAAGATTTGGTTTACATGCTTGATGAGCTTGCAGTGTTATGACTGACAATAAACAAGTTACAACCACAAGCAAGCTGTAGAGTTTTAAGCTTTTTTTTTTCTGAACCATATTTTAAAATTATTTTCTCTTGTTTTTTTTTAAGATTTGTTAGTTTTTGAGATGAAATATCTAAACTCTGATGGTGTATATGTGATGATAATTTATCTGTACTAAAAAAACAAAAAAAAAATCTTTAATTTAGATCTTAAAGGTGATTGTTTGTAGTGAGTATATTTGGTTTCTTTAATTCTTTTATTTTTCAAGTTATGTGTAGGGAAAGTAAAATAATCTCACAACTGTTAAAAAAAAACACATAATGCGTAAAGTTGGGAGAGGAGGCTTAACTGTAGAACAGATGGAATCCACGTGGACCTCAGTGGCTTTCAACATACATATTTATAAACTGTTTTTTCACCAAATTTCTTGTGGGTTTGTGGCGTTTTTCATTATGCGTCCTTTATAACATAAAAACCGCACAAAGAAATTAACAAAAATATCATCAATATTGCAGTTACTCCCATTACTAGTAGGATCCCCCATGTATTTTGTTACGCCCATTACTAGTAGGATCTCCCATGTATTTTGTTACTCCCATTACTAGTAGGATCTCCCATGTATTTTGTTACTCCCATTACTAGTAGGA